ACAGAGTGCCAGCTCTGAAGGATGTGTACTTCTCTAGTTCCTTCCCTAAATCAATGAGTTGTCACAGGAGACAATTGCAAGTCTACTGTTGTGGCTACCGTGTCTCAGCTTTTCTTATCAATCATTTATTTCTGCTGCCTCCGTTCACGCTCACGGACCCAAAAATGAACAAAACCGACGGAAAAGCTAACAGAAAGTGACGCTGATAGCCTTTTCTCCTTTTGTGTCTGATATCTAATCATAGCGGAAAAGGATTTAAAAGTGCGACATACACAAAAACAATTTTTCGATGACGGAAAATGCAGTTTCCTAGAGAGAAACTTTCCTGTTTTTTTTTTTTTGTTGTTTTTTGTAGAAATCCTGTTGTCATTATACTGTTTAGCAAACGAACAATTGCACTACCAGCAAAATCGTATTTTTGAAAAAAAAAATTATTCTTTAATTCAGCAAAGACACATTCAATGGATCAAAAGTGACTTTCACATTGTTTTTCCAACAAAACTTTACATTCATCAAAAAAATCCTAAAATATTTGGATTCCACAATATTAAAAGGCACAACAGTTTTCTGTGTGACACTGAAGACTGGAATAAAGGCTGCTGGAAATTCACCATAACCATCACAAGATATTTTATTTTACATTTTAAACTATCAATTAAATCTATTCAAATAGAAAAGTTCTTTTAAATTGTAATAACAAATAAACAAACAAAGGTCCTGGTGAGCATAAGAGACATTAAAAAAAAGCATTAAAACAAAAGTTGTATTCTCACAGGTTATGAAAATTCATAGTTTAGCTTAAAGTCTGAATAAGTGAATGCTAAATGTGAAGGGTAATGTGTGTAATGTGTATTTGTGATGCATTGAAATGCCTAAAATGGGAATGGGAAATATTGAATTATTAATTTGAAAAAGAAGCAAACAATTCTGGCAGGATATGCAAGCGGCTCAAGCATTCCAGCTTAGAGTACGAGCCCATAGGAGAGGCCCTCAGGGACCACGGAAAAGTGCAAACCACTTTTGTCTCTCCCCCACACCGTTTCATCTTAATTCAAAAGCCACATCCTGCTATCCTCCCATCTTTTGGCTTAAGGAATTATGGAATGATCCTTGAGGTTATAAAATCCGGACAGTCCAAGGTTGCCTCTAAGGCATACGAACTGCATCAGATGTCTGTTTCTTAGATTTCCCATCCTGTTCCCAGTACAAAAAAATGTCACCTCAGAACCCTGTTGTCAAAGTGGCTCATCGGGCTGAAGCTGATAGGACTAATTGTTGACAGGTGCTTCTAATGCCCGACTTTGAAAAGTGAGTCTGATTTACGACAGGGCTTCTATGGCCGACATTCACGGCTGCTGGTAACATCCCTACACGAGACGCCAAGCATTCCGGTCCCGTGATGTCACGGCCTTCAAAGTCAAAACAGACTACAAGTTATTGATATTTTCTTGGAGACTGTCAAAAGAAAAGATGAGTCACTCAGATTAATTGTATTGATTATTTAAAAAATATATAGCCTATATATGAAGAGTTCAGATGCAAAAGCCTCTAAATGCCATTTGAAATTTTCTTCTTTATTGATGATTTTTTATCAAACTTGAATATATAAGTTCAGTAATTTTACTTAAATAACAATTCAATGGTAATTATCATTGCCATTTAAGTGAAATCACTGAACTTAAAATACAAGCTTGATAAAAAATTATCATTCTAGAAGAAAATTTCAAATGGCACTTAGAGGGTTTTGCATTTAAACTCTTCATATACATATATAGAAATATATAAATTTAACTTTAAAACGCGACGCTCGTGGTTTCATGTTGTATATATTGATAACATGATTATTTAAAAAATAAGAACATATATAAAAGATGGCATTTTAATCTTTTAAATTAGCTAAAAATCAGCAAGATACAATGCATTGGCCAAAAAAGTGTATTTTAGACACTTTAGATAAAAGTGTTTTTTGCATTTTATTTACAAATAAATGCATAAAATAAATACGGACATACATTCATTTATTTGTATTGCTTACATATAAGGATACCATCTTGGTGATTTTCAGGGCGCTTTCACACTTGGTTCGATTGATTGCTCCCCCCTTCCCCTGCCCCCAATAGACTGTGTTCACATTATATTATTTGAATGAAAAGGCATCAAAATCGATAGAATTGCTCTTTCTTTCTTTTTGTATCCTTTGGTTTTGTTTTCAAAGAACAGATACAGAAACACACTTGTGTCTGTCTGCCGCAAAAGTACTAAAATCGGTCCAAAGACAGGGGACTGTCCGTCGAAAACAATTTTTCGTGTCAGTGTGTCAATCCCGCTTTTCGTCACACACAAACGCAAGCATGAGAGTTAACGTTTAAGAAAACGAATCATCTATTTTGTAGAGTTAAGTGTTAGGATAGGAACTTCATAAAATGGTACAACAAATGTTTTTATGTTTACTTATCTTTTTGATAAAATGTAAAATAATATCTACTGATAATACACAATTTAATAAATGAGCTTAAATATGATTACTACATTCTTGATTATAGAATAGATCATGTAAAGCTTTATTTCCAATATTGTTAGTCATCAATAGTGGTTCACTTCCACGATTTGGTACGATTGTGCTCATTTCAGTAGCAAACCGTACTCGAGTTCACATGAATCTGTTCGTGGGTGCGCAACCGAGTTCGGAAGACAGCGTTCACATCATCCAAACAAACCAAAATCTGACGTCATTCGAAACCATATGCGCTAGTGTGAAAGGGCCCTCGGTGTCTTCCACAATGAGCACTTGCACATATGATGTTATTTGCTATATTACTTTGGGTGACAGAGGCCACATACACGGTTGTCAATTCACCTTGTAGAGCTTAAAATAAAGCTTAAACAACAAGCCCAAAAATGCTTATAATAAGTGGACATGGAAACATTGCAAGAGCATGCTCTGTGAATCAGCCTTATCAATCATAAGCAATACAGGACAACACTGTCAACTGTGCTTTAGTTAAAATAGCTGAACTTCACTAGTCTTTTGTCGCTGTAATATTTCATTGGTGTTTCGTACACAAACGGAATGATAATTTAGGGGACTCACTCCTTTATTTAAAAGCGTTTGTTACTACTGAAACTTTACAGCGTGTGTAAGCGGTCAGAGTAAGCAAGGCTCTCTTGAACCCTTTGGAAAGCTCTGCAAACACCCTGCAACTGACCAGTCTCCTGTGTCCGTATCAGCAGGGTGCCTTTGGCGAGTACAGGGGTATTGATTAATCAGACCTCTGCTTTTTGGAGTGCTGATGGGCAAACAACACTGACAGGCGTGCCAGCTCTTGTGGCAATCAGCACAGGCATGAGAAGTGTGTGTCAGTGGGTGTGTATGTACGTAACAGTCAGATGTGGTCAGAGTGTGTGTGTTTGCAGCCAGGGACAGTGTTTGACAAACATCGCAGTGTTGTGAAAGAGGTCAACAGGCTCGAGCATAGGGTCTGCTAGGGTGACTCGATTAACTCCTGAATGGCCAGGATACACTTACTCTGTTTCAAATTCTAGTGAGGTGCCAAAAAAAAAAAAAAAAAAAAAAAAATCAGGGCTATTATCGTTAACTAAAACTATTTAAAACATTTTTGTTAATTCAAATATAGCTGAAATAAAATCAAATATAAAGATTAGATGAAAAACTAAACTTAGAAATATTGATTGAGCCACTAAAAGGAGTATTAGTGTACCATGGTCAGTTATGAATGAACTTTTATTTTTATTCAATGCTATACAAAAAAAAAAAAAAAATTATAAATATTTCAGAGTAATTAAAAATGTATTACTTTACCCAATATTAGAGTGTGCTATATGTTTTTTTTATGAATATTAGCTAATAATGCAGTTACCTTAGCAATCTGCTAACGTCAAACTCAACTATAATCAATTTTGGGTTGAGTCTCCAATAAGGGTGCTCCAATTGATCAAGAGACGATCATTATCGGCCGATAATACCTTTATATAGTTTGATCGGTGGTCTCTATAAAGGCAGATCAGAAGAGTTGATCAGATGACGCAAAACTCGCAATACAATTTTTTCTATGTGCAGCAAAAATTGGTTCACTACATTCACCGGTCTGGCAGTTCTACCAGTTTTCAGAAAAGGAAAATACATTGCAATGTCTTTATAGAGAAAGGAGACATAGCAACAACAGCAACCCTACAGCAATGACAGCAATAATCTAGGGCTGTGTGATTTTAGTGCATGTCTTTCCTTCATAGCGGTGTGCTTTCGTTCCTCCCTAAAAGCCCAAACTTACAAATATCCAAATCTGCTAGATTAGTGATTGTCATAAAATACAGTCTACTGTTGCTAAACTGCAGAATGTGTTCAATAATAAAGAACATCATAAATACTGCATTAAGCCACGAAAGAGATACTTTTATTCAGGCGTCTTTCTGTGTGTGAGACGGAGTGAGTGGAAAAAGCAAAGTGAATTTTGAGCTGAATAATGGCCAAATACTCACAAATATATGTAAAAATGCCTGGCTCGGTGAGTAATCACTTAAACACTGTCATCTATGTCTTAAGTGAGCATGAACAGTTGGGAAATAAGACGCATGTGTGTCAGTATATTGGATCTGTGCAATAGGTCTTAAAGTGACAACAGCCAAATATTCCAGCTGCTCGGTGTCAATCATGTTAAAACAACAACAACAAAAAGAAAAAAATTATTAAGATTAGTGTTATTTATTTTATTGATTGGTATGAGTGATCGTATCAACCAATACTAATTCCAGTGATCTGTAATTGGTGATCGGCCCCAAAAATTCTGTACAGAGCCCCCTTTAGTCTCTCAAGCAGAGCAATTTTTGTTTCCCCATGTTGAATGTTTCAAATCAGTCACTTAATAGTTTCCATGACAGTTAGAACAGAACGACCTAGTATAACTACTGTTACTAACTAATGAAACACTGCAACTGTGCAGTCACTGAAAAACCCGGCATAATCTTTGCTAGTGTTTACTAACCATGTAGTGGTGATCCAGATGGGCTACTGGAAAGGCCAGGAATGGGGCTACATCGGCCGCCCTGTTTGCTGCTGAGCTCTTGCTCGATTTCTTCCAGTCCGGCACTCTTCTGGAAGCGGCTCATGCGATTGACCACACGGGGAGACATATGCGTGCGTGCGCATGGCGCTCCACCATATGGGTTGATGGGAAAGACATGTGAGGTGCCACGAAGAGTACTGATCACCACCCAGCGACAGTCATGGCTGAAGCAGATGTCCTGTACCTAGAGTGGTTAGAGAAAAGATACGAATGTAAGTTCAATACAATAAGCTCCTTTGGTTAGGAATCAAAAATATAAAATCATCATTAAATTAATAATATTGTCATCGTAGAAAGTTGCTAGAATGTAGCATCTTGGGTGAAAAGTACGGACATTAAAGCAATGCCTTTCCTTCAAAATTTCAGAGATCTTTTCTTCTTTATTAGGAGTTTATTGAGCTTGCCGTCGACTGTAAGAAAGGGCCAATTAAAAATGACCAGCTCATAAATATGAATCATTCAAAATAAGATTAATAACATGCTTTGTTAAAAAAGGATAAGATGAATCTTTATTTCATGCCAACTTTAAGGACATTCTGTAGGAATTTTCTCTGGTGTTGCAAGTCGTGACATTATGTTTTCATAAATAGCTTCTGGTAAAGACGAGAAGATATAATCTTTAAAAAATGTGTTCTGGAATGGTTGAAAGGAATGAAAGAGAGGTGTTGGTAATCACAACAAGGTGTTGGGGTGGAGAGGTTTCAGAACTGATCACCAGATATTGGTTACTGCCAAGAAAAACCTGAATTTCTAACCTGGCTTTTGTATTTATTAAAATCTCACCCCCGACAAACCATCAGACTGCCAAAACAGTGCTTCCTGTTTGTTTTCCTGTGTTACAACTCCTACGTTCAATCAGACATGTGCAAAATGGGTGTTTAGTCAAACCCTGTTTTTTAAGCATGTTGCGCCATGAGCATTGTTTTATAAGAGAGTATCTTGAAATCCTGTTCCATCTGTGCTAAACTTGTCTTAAAGTAGCTCTATGAATTGATGGTGGGCTTTCCCCAAAACATGGTCCAGAAATCTTACACTTGACTTTACCAAACAGCACTCTGCTATCAGCAAGGTTCAGCTAATGGCTTTTTTATGGCACTTTTTATGGATAGCCATCAGCTACTGGAATGCAGCTGTCTGGAGATCTGTCTGATTCTAGGTCATTCGGCTCTATCTGTCTCAGATCCGTCTCGAGCTGAATACGCCAACCAGGACATGAGCAAACGAGTCAAGATCAGTGACCACTTCCTGTTCAATGACAACGCCAATCTGTTCATTTTCCCTTGAGGATTAAAAATGAGATTTAGGCAACCAAAGACAAGGACTGGGATATTTCAATTGATTAATCAGACACACATCAAATGAGGTGTTTGGCCAGTCATGTGCTACTCAGAACAGCTTAAATAGTGTATGGCTTCAGGCAACGTTGGCTGGTAGGTTATTTACCTTCACGCACACTAAGGTCAGCTCGGAGCAGGTTGGGAGTCAGATAAGGCCGGGTGCCTGTGTCCGCCCACGAGGCATTATCACTTCTTTTATTTGTTCTGCTCAAGATAATGCGTCTTGGAGGGTGCTTGCTTTGTGCAGTTTGCACTGTTTACAATGCCAGATCAAAGCCAACGCATGGCCAGGCAGCAAACCTGGCATGAGGCGGTGACAGATTAACCACCTTCCTCATCTCAGCAGAGCTGCGGGCCACCATGGCCCTGTGCTCACAAAGGAGGGAAAATGAGAATGTTTTACACACTCGGTTCCAGCTCTCTGCCATGCCTGGAGGTACCGGCTCAGGTAATCACACCTTCAATATAAGGAGCAGGTACGAGAGAGGAACATAAACTTCACCCACGGGCCAGTACCCAGCTTGCAATTTTGCATTTTTGACTCACTCAGAGTGCACTTGAAGGGTAAAGGGACAAAGCGATTTCAGAAAGAAAAAAGAAAAAAACTATAATGGACATAATATTAAAAAAATAGCATTAGTAGTTAAAAACAAGTCTGTTTATAGACATAACACTTGATTGTGCTGCAGTTAATATGGCACTCATATGACAATAACATACAGTGAAACAGTTTTTATTCCACTGCAGTGTTAATATTTGTCATGTGAAGAAGGATTTAAATTGGGGAAATATGTCTGGCATGCTTTTAGACATCGAATGTAAGAGTGAGAGTCTATGAACTAGAGCAGAGATCAGGTTTGTGTGCATATCCAAACATGACACTAGCTGAGTAAGTAAGGGTCTAGGCCCTTTCGGAATAAATATTAGTTCTACTTAAGCAAATAAAACCTTACAATTTGCCAACTGAAGGAGATATTGTGGTGGAACAGCTGCAAGGCTGAATGGATGAAACAGCATTTAGGAGAAATGAAAACTAAATCACTGCAGTTATTTCCCAAACTGATTTGTGCAATAACCCAATAGATCACAAAAGTAAATTAAACTTTTAAGCACCCAGATAGATTTCCAAGGCTTGGCAGACACTAATGATCAGATCATGTCCTTAGATGTCCGCTTAAACTATTCAACCTGAGTAGTGTTACATAAAATACAAAAAAAAAAGACATGTAGATTTGACCATCATTCATTGGTTTAAAATACTACCATACTAAAAGAATGATCAATATCTTTGATTGAGACCATTCATTGCCTTAATTTGACTAGTAAAATAAAATATTAGAAAATAAAATAACTTTTAAAAAATGTGGGGCAATATTTCAAATTGTATTACTTGAGGACAGATGTGCTGTCAGTTCTCTGAACAATAAAAAAATACAAAGGTTTCTGTTTCAAATAACACCGTTAGTTGTTCTAGATTTGTTATTTATAAAGCTGGGCTAAAATGGGCTATATTCAGCGCTGCCCAAGGTCTATTTCCAGGGATTTAAGAAAGAGTTGTGTAAAGTCACAAGCGCAACCATGTTGTCCCAGTGGGAATGTCCTCTTGTCCATGACCTTATAGCCTAAGATATCATAGGTGTTACAAGTCCCAAGCTTGACCCCAAGGCGCAAGAGTAAAAGCTCGGTCAGGAGCACAATCTAAGCTCTCACCAGCGGTCTGGGGTATTTTTAGCAACTTTTCTCTTTTTTCAGCCATGGTGATTGAAAACACATTGGCAACACTAATAGTTTCAGGTCTTCAGATTCCAGAGTGTTGAAAACTGAACGTGGGAGCCACAGGGGAGGAAGTTTTAGAATAAGCAAAGACTAACCGCTGAGAGCCCAAATATTTCATGTGAATCCATGTAATTTTGCTTTGTACTGGGGGCAAATGTTCTCCAGGTACAAAACAAAAGGAAAATGGACAGTTATAACCACAAAAAAATAAAGTCAAGAACTATATTATATATACTGTATATAGATACAGTGAAGCTCACATTTTGCATCTATAACACAGTAGTGAGGGGTCATGTATTTCATAGTCAGGTTTAAGATCAAACAGATGAGTCATACTCACACTTTTTGTTGAATACACACTGCCCTACACACTACAAAAGAGCCAGAAACAGCAGTGCTGGAGCTCAGTGGTACCAAGCCTTATGTCTCTTGACAGTATTTAGATAACACGCAAGGATTCACCAACGATGAAAAGCATGTTCAAATTGCACATTTCCAGAGCCATACAACCACAGGCAACCGTAAACAGTTGTGGGTGGCCCAAAAAGACTTTAAATGATTATGCTAATGATTAAAAGAGTCCGGAAAGGCAATATTTCATCTCAATAACTCCCCCGAAAATAGCGTGAGCGTACACAGGCATGTGTGTGAAAGCAAGGGATGGGACGGGAAGCTTTGAAGTTTGACTTAATATCCCCACACTGTCCATGTATTACTTGAACGCAAGACAGCTTCTTTTTTTGTTGTTGATATATATTCCATGTGGAATATGAGTTTCTGACCAGTGGCATATTTTTTAACCAGAATTTTATTTTTGAGGGAGCCATAAATTATATATATATATATATATATACAAACTGAAATTTATTTTTAGTACGATACCTGTATTTTCATTGCATATTTTTGAGTTTCATTGCATTCACTACTACTGTATTTAGTGGTATAATGTACTAATAATACTTCGAAGTCTGCCTACAATTTAATTGTATCAACTGCCCTAATAACATTAGAAAATCATGAAAATAAAAAAAGGACATGAAAAATGATCATTGTAAAATCATTATTTATTTTATTAAAAATTAAGAATTCAAGTTTGTTTATCAGTATCATAGCAACTCTAACTTCCGCTGGAATTGTTGGATTGGAACTGCTCGTAGCTTTTCGCAAGAGTTACATTTTTTAACGCATCCGGATGACTAACACAATTTTCTTCGCGCCGCACTCGGTCGGATCCATTTCGGACCCATTCGCATGCGGTCTGCGAATCTCCATAGGAAATGAATGACTTCTGGTCGTTTCGGAGCCGTATCGGAGCTGATTTCAACTGCCAGTGTGAAGGCGGCATTACGGCGACCATATCTCTGAAAGACAACAGCGCTGTGTTGAACAGACAACAGAGGTTTCCCAAAAGCATTGTATGCCTAAGTAGATCGTAGAACCATTGCCACCAATGGTCTCTACAAACAACTTAGCTCACGATGCTTCTGGGAAACGCAGCCCAGACCTGAATCAGCCTTTCGTGACATTTATTTCTATAGCATGTGAAAGGCGCTATATAAATTAAACTTCTTCATCTTGGTTCATCGTGCAACCTGTTTGTATGTGACACTCATGAAACGTAAATCCAGCTGCAGCCAATTTAGCGATTGCATGACCCACCTCTTCCCAATCTGCGACCCACAAATGGGTGGCGGCCCACAGTTTGAAAACCCCTGTACTAAAGGACAGTGCATTTACCTAACAGCTTTTATGTAAATGGGGACATACACATGTATTCTTACCTTAGCCTCAGTCTCTCCTCTGTGAAGAGTGTATAGATGATGAACTGCACTCTGGGAAGACACCCATGGGTGAGTCAAGATTTGGAAAACATGGAAGTCATGACCAAGGGTGTCTGTGGTCACCAATAACATACCTGTAGATCAGAGAAGAACCATTTATTTGACCATATTGGACCTTCTAAGCACTATCAATCTAGTTTTGGTGACACAGGAAGTATTGAATTGAGGGCTGTCAATCTATTTTTAAAAAATAGAAATAATTAATCACATTGTGATAACAATCTGCAGCAGCACGATGAAGGGCACATAATTGGCATACATTTATAACGCTAGTAGCCACAGGAAGTGGGGTTTTGCCTTACATTAATTATTTATTTTATTATTTATTGCATTAATTTCTGGAAGTTAATACGGGCCGCTTATTGCAAGTAACACAGCATTTATTTCCACTTAATGATGCTACAATGTTTTCCTCCACTTCCTATAGCTTGTGTTATATGTTCATGCAAATTATGCACCCTTCATTATACTGCTCACTTCAGCCCCATGAAGCAATTTTTTATTCTTATTTAGAACTAGTTATCTATTAAATTGTATTTGGGTATACCATTTTCATTTGATGATCGGCAATGTGACCAAAATCAACTGTGGTCAAGCGATTAGACTGTGTGCTCCAACAAACTATCAATTGAAAGTGCTAGGAAGGGCCATACATGTTGTAGTCCACTCTAAATATATATACATAATCATGTTAACATTTTACTTGCTAAATGCAAAAGTTGTGGGCTTAAACTGAGAAGAACAAATGCAAAACAATGGCACTCAGATTGCCTGTAAGTATTGAACATTTCATGAGACACGTTTACATGGTTGTAAAGGGCAGCCGAGTTCCACTGCAACTTGTGTTCTAGAATTAACTGCATGCCAAGATCTTCCCTCAGCTGTCAGGGCCAGAGTATGTGGATCTGTTTTAAACACAACCGCAGGAGAACCCAAGTGGAACCTCTGATGACAGGCCCTCTCATTTTCCCACTTTTATTTGAAGTAAGTGAAACTACAGAAATTATAAGCTCTTACTGTAAACAACACACTTACTAAACCACAGCACAAGAAAAAACCCGAAGCGAACCTTCATGGCAACACAACCTCACATACAACTTATTCCTAAAAACAGTGTGACAGCTCTACAGGCTATTTTCCACACACATGAAAGTCTGGTCACTACCGCTTTGGAAAGTTTCTCCAACACTACGATTAAGATGGATATAGCCACCGGGTCTCGATCTCACTGCTGTAATTTAAGATGACAATAATTAGTGATTTTCCAATCCTGAATCTCTAATGCAGAGTTCACAGAGGGGTTTAATTTGTGGCAAGCATTAACTCTGTGGTCTGACAAACTCTTACACACACATGACATGACAATGGACCAGCGGCAGTTCTAAAGGAGCTCATCCGCCCTATTTCTGCCCTAGAAGTTTTCATTTTCACACTTAGCATCTGCTTTAGGTGCGGCTTTGCCATCTCATTGAGCAGTAAGACAGGAAGCAAGGGGAATGGGCCGTGGCAGCGAAGGAAAGGGTCACGCTGAGATTGCGCCTATGAAAAAGAAAAACAGAGTCGGCCAGTGAATAAGACAGCGGTTAGCTATTTATGCTGTATCAGAAGACTAAACCAAGTTATGGCCCGGCCATAAACTAACCCACGCCCCAAATGAGGTGCCAAGCCACAAGAAGCATTTGCGTCAACTGGGAATACATGGAAAAGAGTGCCTTCTAATTATAGAGGCTACAAACGGAAGCGCAGAGTGATTAGGAGTTTAGGCGCTGCGGTATGTTTATCTGGGAGCTTCCTCTCCCTCACACCGCCGCCCTGCCGCTCTTGCGCTCACCCTGGCTTTGACAGATTAGGCTTGGCCAGCTTGTTGGGACACAAGTTTGCTGATGGTACACTCTGCTCTCCAAAAGCCAGTGGAGAATGGAAACCAAGCGCTGGGGCTTTTGTGGCCTTGTCGAAATACAGGGCCTCGCAAAGAGGCGTCAGTTGGTTAGCCTGTGGGAAGCTAAATTAAAAAGAGAGCTTCTCTGTGCTGGTAAGCTTCCATAAAATTTTAGGAACCTGAGATGTTAAAGCAATTTTTGACACATACTATTTATAACACCTCGTACTCTAGGCAAAGAAATAAAATATACATTTACACATATATATATATATATATATAATTTCAAATGCTCCACAAAAGAAGAGAGCAATTTAGTATTTAGTTTAGGAATGACGTGGGCAATTAAAGGAAGATTTTTAGTTGAATTACAGTCAATGTACACATACTGGATTCAGCTAGACTAAAAAAAAATAATGTGACATTTTAAAAAGAAAAATTTATGCATTTTTACACCAGGCTCATTAAAACGTCACTGCTTTCTGGAACATAAACAGGTGCACTCTGACCAATGAGAGGACTGTTTCACTCACATGTTGCCCTGTGAAAGTAAACCAAACCATAGAGGAAATGCAGCACTGTAACAATTTAAGTTACTGTAAAAGTAACACAAAAACTGAACTTTTAAATGCATGTAAATGTTTGAAGTTTTATTGAAAGGTTTGTCAATTTGTATTTCGAAATCATGGATTGAAAGGAGTTCACTTCCGCAAGTTATTCATATTAACTGCAAAACACACTGCAGTTCATATGAAACGTACCCCATATCAAGCAGATTTGGCTGTTTCACAAACACACAATTTGACACCAAAAGACCTTGAGTCTACACCAAAAGCTGTAGTGAGTGACCATGGCTTCCTTTTTCATAGTTTTGTTGTTCCCCCCTTAACAAGTCTTTAAACAAAACATCTGCTTAACTTCCACACAGCAATGTTTTATTTTAAAAGTGTCTGAGCCATTCTCCCCGACCGACTCCGTTGATCTCAGCAGCCTGACAAGCAGAGGCCTCCAACTTGGCAAAGTCTGAGAACTGAAACAAAAGTATGCCTTTCAAATTAACAGCACTCGCCTAAGACCTTTGAAAAAGAGGAAATCTCAAATTATAAACATGTGGATAAACCTTTAAAGGGCGGACGCTGGGAATCGTTGTGCTCTAATACCGCAGACACGAACTTTACGCAAGGAAAAAAAAAAGAACAAATAAACACATCAATCACTGCGTTTTGTCCTTGTGGCTGCCCGCATTAGCTGTAAAAGCACAACCGTGCGTGCATGTGTTTGTGGTCCTTTGTGAGTCCATTGGACGGCTTCCTCCTCTGTCATGCTGCACTTGTGGAGGTGTTTATGAAAGCTGTGGAACACACACACACAGGGTTGCACATCTCACATCAAAGCCGCCCACTCAAGCCTGGAGCGAGCAACACTCACTTAGTCCAGAGGCCACCCTTACTCCAACCATCAGATAACAGTATGAAGAAGAGGAGGAGACCGGCATGGGTCAACATGCAGTCAATAACTTGTTAATCTTTTACAGACTAAGTGAGAACTTCTAAAAGCTGGGCTGTTTGATCCCAACCTGGAGGCGGCTCGTGTTTGTGTGTGTGGAGTCCAGGACGGGGTGGCAGATTGGGCCCTGGCATGGTGACTGTGCAGTGTTTTGCGGTGAGCCGGGCAGATGTAATGCCGTCTCCAGTTTCCATTCCTCTGGGCAGCAGGGATGACTGCTGCGGATTCCAGAGGGGGCCCGTGAGCACGTCTCACAGGCTCGTGTGGCCAGGGATACTGTTTATCTAGGCACGTTGGTACCAAGGATATGCTTTTTAAACATGGTACACTGCTCCTGTGGGCATGCTGGCTGGAGAGGCACTCAACGCTCTTAGCTACGAAACCACATTCACAATTCAATTGAGGGCTTTGAGGAAGAAAAGGGGAAAAACTTTTTGGGAGGAGGAAAAAGGTGCCCACGGTTCATTTGATGCACATTCGAGTGTAACGAAGGAGAATGTTTATGTATTTGCTTTACAGCCATACCACCTGTAAGCGCTTGAATATTAATAGATCATAAAGGCCTTTCTCGGCAGGAGGCAATCATTACTTAAATACAACACTTCAACGAAATTCTCCTTCAAGAGATTCAGTGTAACCAAGGTGACCACGAGGTCACATCCATTAAGGAAGGATGGAAGTGTAGGTTATCACTAGGCCCACACAAAATCGACACACTTTTTACTCACATTTCCTGAGCAGATTGTGGGAGGAAATCTGTTCCATTATGGGCAGCAGACTTTTCTGGAATGAATGAGATGTCATTTATTGCGATCAATTAATGTGATTTTTTATTTTTTTTTTGATAAACATTTGAAAATAATTAAATATTTAAAAACAGATGTGTACCGTCAAGCATCAACATTTTTACAAGACCTGTAAGAGTAACATGAAGGTGATTTCCATATGTGTTGCCACTGTGGCGTGGAGAGAAAACAAAAATGTGTTACAACTGTGGTCGATTTTTTTTTTATATATATATTTAAGTTGTTGAAATATCTTTAATGTCCCCAAGGGGCAATTTAGTTCACAACAGGTAGCCAACACATACACATTTACCCAAAAACAGATAAAAACATGAGATAATAAATAGATAAAAACAAATAAAAAAAATAAAACATAAATAAATAACATGTCCTATAGTTTGTTGAGAAACCCAACAGCTAATGGAACAAATGATTTCAAATATCTATTGGATCTGGCACATTTTCGGTAGGTAAAAATGTGCCAGATCCAATAGATATTTGAAATCATTTGTTCCATTAGCTGTTGGGTTTCTCAACAAACTATAGGACATGTTATTTATTTATGTTTTATTTTTTTTATTTTTTTGGCTTAACTTCTATTAGATTAGAAGTTAAGCCAAATTACAATTTCATGTACCAAAAAAAAACATTGTGGGAGGCATGTGGCGAGTGCTATCTTTTAGTCTTTAGGTAACAATTCAAGTCTTTTAGGTTCTTCTTATGGATCTTTCTACGGCCACAAAATGCAGCTGATGCTTGACAGCAGTACAAATCTATTTTACGCTCAGTGGTAGAAAAGCACAGTCTCCTTGAACAGCTTAGTCAGCCTAAAACAGGCCTTTTTGTGATTTTTAAAAGCCCCAAATAAATGAGCTAAACCACAATCTCTAGATAAGAGTCTGGC